AAGTGAGTAATGCTAAAAATCTTTTTACTTCTGCAAAGGAGGTGGGCAGTAGAGGATCCCACAGATCCTGAAACAGCTCAGTCATCCAGGAACAACTAGGCCAGGAACTGGCACAGCTTAGTCATGTATTTAAAACCTGACTTTTTTAATGGATATTTCCATTTCTAAAGCACCTCCCCCCTGCAAAAAACCACGCTCTCAGCTGTCCTGTGATGCAAGTGGTGTCCTCTCCTCAGATGAAAGAGGGAATCCTTTCTCAAACACGTCCAGTGGGGGAGAGGGGATGCAGCAGGGGGACAAGGCGTCATTTACCCCCCCATCCCTCATTCATCGAGGAGCTTGGTGAGTGTCCAGGAAGGAGGGGGATGTTAACCAGCTCAGATTGCTGCATTGGATGCTGGAGAGAAATATTTCCAGACTGGAGCAAACATGATGTTCATCTCTCTCCATCTCCGGGTGTACTGTAGGCAAAATGGTCGGGTTGAGTAGCTTTGCTCTTAAAACCTGGTCCCAGTTTGCTCTCCAATGCTGACAGTCCTGTCTATCCCTTGTGCCAGATGGGAGCCCATGATACTGCAGTCACTGTCTCCGCAGAAGAGGTGTCAGCGTGGGGGCTGCTCCCAGGAAGGGGCCAAGCACAAGCTGAAGTGGTGCATCCTTTGTGTAGGGGGGTGGCATTGGGTACCTCAGAGCACGTTAGAAGCCTCCTCCTTAGAAAGGATTGTTCCCCCCTTCCTCTGATCTGCCTGGCAAGAGGGGTTCCTGCTGAAGGTGGTCCCCAGCTGCTGTCTGGCTCTTTGTCGGATGCTCCTTATCCGTGACATGCAGTCTTTGCCCGTGATCACATAGAGCAGGGGGTTGAGGGCACTGTTGAGGCTGGCCAGGCCCCGGGTTACCTGGTAGGAAACATAGATGTTCTTTGAAGCCTGTGTGCAGAACCCTTGCAGCTGCCAGACACGGGACAACAGATTGAGGTTCCTGAAGATGTGGTAGGGGAGGAAGCAGATGGAGAAGAGAACCATCACGAGAACCACCAGTCTGATGCTTCTTCTCCTGAGCTCGAGGTCCATGGTGTCGTTCCTGCAGAGCACAAACACCACATGGCAGTAGCACCCGAGGATGATGAGGAAGGGGATGATGAACCCGGTCACGGTGACAGCCAGGGTGTAGGGCAAGTAAACGTCCAGCTTGTTGTGCCCCGTCGTGTCGTGGCACCGCGTCCCCGTGTCGTCCGTCTTGCTGAAGGCAAGATCAGGAGCCACTTGGGCAATGACCCACGCCCAGACTGCCACGCTGAGCCACAGAGAAGAGGCAGCCCCCTGGCACCGGCCCCGTGCCTTCAGCGGGTGCACGATGCCCAGGTAGCGGTGGATGCTGATGCAGGTGAGGAAGCCGATGCTGGCGTAGAGGTTGAGGTGGAAGAGGCTGCGGGTGGTCTGGCACCAGCCCTGCCCGAAGAGCCACACTCTGCCTCGCAGGTAGTAGCTGACGAGGAAGGGCAGGGTGCTGACGTACAGCAGGTCTGCCAGCCCCAGGTTGCCCACCAGCAGGCTGAGGGGCTGGCGGGCGCCCTGCCGGTGCCCCGTGCAGAAGTGCCACAGCCCCAACCCGTTCCCCACCAGCCCCAGAGGGATCACTGTCAGGTACACGGCGGGCAGGAAGCGCTGGGCGAAGGCGGCATCCACAGGGCACAGAGCCCCGCTGCCATTGCCGGGCCACGTGGCAGCAGCCATGGGGAGCTGTGGCAGCCCTGCCCAGCGGGGCAGGCGGTGGCAGGGCTCGGAGGAGCCGGTGCCCACAGCAGGGTTGGCTCCAGCAGCGCCGTGCCCAGAGCCAGCCCTGGCAGCGCCGTGTCCTCTGGCACAGGCTGCGGCTGCCCTCACCTCCCCGCTCCTGCTGAACCCGGACTGGCCTTTGGGGTGCTGGGCTTTTCCCCAGAGCATGGGGAGGATGTGCTGAGGGCGGCCCCAGCACAGAGCCGGGGTGACTGGTGGCTTCCGCCACTCCTTCGGCGCCTCCCACCAGCCCACTTCAGATATTTTGAGCCGGGCGCCAGGGACATCACAGCCCCTTGGCTATTTTGGGTGCTGTGTGTGCCTGAAGGGAGTGGGAAACAGGGAGCAGAGAGGAGGGAGAGGGGCTCTGCTGCGGAGATGTCTGATGAGGGGGGACAAGGCTTTCAGCCTGTTCCTGTTCTGTCCCACTTGGGGTGAAATGTCCCAGTTTTGCAGACCGGGGGGCTGGAAGCCTGCCCCCCATGAGCTGCCCTCAGTTCCATTCCTGACAGCCTTTCTCCTGGCCCCAACGCTCAGAAATACCAGCAGCAGAGTTAAGGCAGAGACTGGCAGCATTCCACGGGGCTCATGCTGCCAGTCCCGCTCGGGCAGAGCCGGTGGCACCGGCAGTGCCAGCAGGCAGAGGTGTGGCAGGCTGCCTGCCCCCAGCATAGGCAGCAGTGAGCCCATCCCTGCTGAAGAGCTGTCTCTGCACTACAACTCGTCCTGCTGCCTATTTCTATATCCCTCCCCAAATACAAACCCCCTTTTCCCCCTCCTCCTTTCAGTGGTTTAGACCCATGCAGGGAGGACATGCAAGATGGGCTGTGACCTTCCTCTCCTGCTTTCCCTGTTACAGGGGATGTCACACAGAAGACACCCAGATACTGTGAAATTGGGGTAAGAGCTAAAACCAGCGACCCCAAAGCAGACCCCAAGGAAAGGCAGCCTCAACTGCACTGCTGAGCAGCTGCTGCATAAACGGGGCCAGAAATAACTTTTATCTCCAAGCATAGGAATCGACAGGGCAGTAACCAGCCGGGTTTACCCTGGCAAGCCATGCAAAAACAACCTTGAGAAAACAACTTCAGGTGAAAAGGGCTGGGCCCAGGAAGGGCGACGTCCACCTGCTTTCCGGGAGCTGCATCAAAGCAGGGGGTGGGAGGAGGCTGAGAGCTCAACTGCCAGTGGGGAGGAGGAGGGTGGGTCCTGCCGAGCCATCCTGGCTGCCTGTCCCTCCTTGGGAGCAGCTGAACATCTCCACTGGAACATCCTTGGGCACAGGAGTTCAGGAACAGGATGGGGAAGCCCAAGACACAGATGGGGGGTGGTAGCTACTCTTTGGGAGTATCAGTGTATTTGTCGACTTCAAAAAAGTGCTTGGTGGAGCAGATAAGTGATGGGAAATGGGGTGTGTTATTTCCTGCCTTTGTAAAAAAATCTCAGCACTACCGGCATGATGGAGTAGCAGATTGTAGAAGCTGTTTCCATGGGGTGAGGATACACCTTTTCTGAGGTTTGCAGAGCCTCTGGTGGGTCTGTGCTCCTGGAGTGGCAGCAGCACAGAAGAGGGTCCCTGGGGGTGCATCCCCAGGGAAGCAGTTCTCCATCTTGCCCAGCTCCCACCCCCTTCACCTCAGTGCACTTCAGCTGCTCCTGCAACCTGGGCTTGGGGTGGCACTTGTAGAGCAGCTTTATGGAAGTGTGGAAGGGCAGCACGAGGAGAGGAACAGACTGGGAGTGGTTCCCTTTGTCCCAGAGTATCAACCACTGGGGAAACTGAGGCAGAGACAGCAGCTGGCTGTGAGGACTGCTGAGATCATGGGAAGGGTGGTGAGCTGCTCTCAACAGTGAAGGCAAAACCTGCCCTGTCCCCACAATGAAGGCTTGGAGCTGGGTGCCTGTTCACTTGGCCCGTGGTTTCACTTGCGATGCAGGTGCTACTTCCAGCTCTGCCCAAGCATCCCACATCAGGATGCTCCCCTCCTGTGCCTGGCTCTGGCATGTGGCAGTGTTGCTGCTGGCAGGGTGAAAATTCAGGGCCCAGACAGCTCCTGCAAACAGATAACTTGAGTGATGGGCTCCCAGGAAAATTGAAAAAAGGCTCAATTTTTTTAATTGAGCACTGCACTCTTGTGCTCAGTTTCTGAAAATGTTTTGCTTTAATGAAGGGCTCATCCAGCCCTTTCTCAGCCTTCTCCATGCATTTAAAAATCATCAGTCATGAGAATGACTTGAAAAAGAAATTCTGATGCACGTTGTTTGCTCATGTGGTAGCACAGTTTCCCTTCAGCTGCTGCATGTGCTTGTGCCGAAATGAGCCGTGATCTGCTGCTCACCACTGGCTCGGGAGAGTGGTTGGCAAATCTGTGCTGTGTCTGTGTGCAGATGTGCCCTTAGGCCTTAAGGATAAGGGTGATTTTTTTCTTCTGATTTTGGGATTTTTATCTTTGCAGGTTACCAAAATCACCTGTGGATCCCCCACCCGAGCAGGCAACGCCAGGACCCTGCGTCAGAGACTGTCATAAACGTGAGCCTCAAATAGCTGTGTTTCCAGGGTAGCAGGGCTTTAGAGGGAATGGCAAATATTGTGAGACTGGCAATCAGATTGCAAGAGTTGCTTTCCCTGTGTTCTTAGGGAAAAATAACTCTGATTTATTTGGAATCATTAATTCATTATTTAGATGTTTTCTGCTTAGTGAATCGGGGAGAAGTGATATTCTGCAAGGGAAAAAAAAAGAGGAAATTATAGCAGAGATGCACTGAGTCATTTGTTTGAGATGACAATTACAGATTGCTTCTTAAAAAGTGACCTTTTGATTATGACCATCACCCAGAGGTGGCTGGGCAGGATCTGGGAGGGGGTTACAGCCTTGGCAGCCCTCCCTGCCAACAGCTCACCCAGCCTTGGTGGCCGAGTCCCAACAAGTTCAAACAAGAACTGGCTTAAAAACAGGATTTTCAGTACACACAACGTTTTATCCATGTCAGTCGAGGAACATGGTAGTTTTAAAGTCTACATGAGCCTTGTGTCATCACTTTTTTGGCAGAGCCGTCACAGAACTAAAAAAGCCACCCAAAGCTGTTTGCTCTGCGATTTGCTGCCTGATGGAGGTTCACCATATCCCCTGTATCAAACAGAATTAATGATTTGGATTCAGGCCGAGCACCAGATGATCACAGTAAATAATTCTCTTTGTAAGCAATGTTTTATTGCACAAGCAGTGAGGTTTCTTCCTCCCCCCTCACCTCCCAAAGTGACTGAAAGGCATTCTTGACTTCACTTTTATTTTCAGCCCTTGCAGAGCCCAGGGGAGTGAGTGAGCAGCTGCCTTGGCCCTGCTGCCTTTCCTGCTGCTGGTGAGGAAGCTTTTCCCTGGGCTGGAGAGGAGATCTCCCTCTGCCATTCAGCCTTTTGCCCCTGCACCTCCAAATCTGCCTCAGTACCAGTTGCCCTGGGTCGGGAGGATGGTCAGCTGGTGGCACTGGGGGAATCCCAGTCTGGGGGGAACAGAGGAGGGCCTGGCAGGAGGGGGGAATGAGTCACAGGGGGGTTTGGGCACTGATTTTTAGGAGGCTGAGGAGAGGCATGGCCTGGGCTGTGCCTGGGGCTGCAGACCCAGCAGCAGGGCAGCCAGTGCTGTCCTGCACATCCCGACACTGCCCGGAGACCTGGGCAGGGCTGCAGGCAGGGCTGCGGGCAGGGCTGCGGGCAGGGCTGCGGGCAGGGCTGCGGGCAGGGCTGTGGGCAGGGCTGCTCCTGTTGGCAGAGCTGGTGGAGCTGATGGCTGGGTAAAAGCAAAGGGTCATGACTGAATCCAGGATATGATATACTCTAATAATGTGTTCAGTGCTTTGATTCACAATGGTTTTTTTTTCCTTTTTCTTTTCTTTTCATACTCTAAGCAGCCTGAATTGAGGTGCTTCCAGGCTGCCCCATCCTGTGCCACTTTCCAGCTGGCCACGAGCAGCAGGGCTGGGCTCACCCTGCACCAGACAAGCTCCACACCTCGATCAGCACACCTTTATTTTTAGCTCCAGAAATACACATCTAAAAAGTCCGTATCTCACCTGGACATGTCACCTGCACCACTGCTCCTTGCAGCTGCCCCTCTCTCCCTGCGGTGGGACGTTCCCTCTGCACGCTGGTGCGAGGCCGTTAGAGGGCATTTGGGTTTCATTTTCCGTCGCCCACAAGGGTTACTGCCGAGGGAAAGCACAGCCAGAACCGCCCAGCAGCTCTCCTGCGCAGCTGGAGCGGCTCCAGCCCGTCGGGAGGCGGCTCCGACTCATCTTTGCGATTTTGTTTTCTCTTTCTCCTGCTTTTCCTTTGGCCCGGGCTCACAGGGAATGTGCTTGGATGGCAGGCGGTATGTCTGGTGCCGCGGGACGGTGTCTCCGTCTGAGCTCCTCGCTCGCCGCAGCTCTGCCAAACCGCCAGCGCCTGGGAGAGGAGGGGGCCAGGAGGAGCGGGAAGGCTCGTGTTTGTTCTGGAGGGATGCGGGGAAGGTGAATTAGAGCTGTCAGCAGGAGGACCCTGCCCATGCCCAGGGAGGAGCCGCTGTTTGCAGGGTGGGTATCGTGGGCTGGCCGAGCTCCCGCACGGTGGGGCAGCTCAGCCTGGCATGGCAGTGACTTGTGGGTGCAGCCTGATGTACCCGCTCCCTCCCTGGGGGGCCAGGGCATGAGGGTTCCCTCCAGGGATTTGGGCTTCCAGGTGCTGGAGATGGCCTCTATTGCAGTCCACACAGAGCAGAGCTGTGTGATGTGGTGGAGGAGCAGCATCACCTCTCCAGAAGCTCCACTGATCCAGGAGGACCGATTCCTGGCTTCTTGGGTGGGTTCATGCTTGGGGCAGGGTTTCCCCATTTCCCATTTCATTCAGCCTAAGAAACTCGGGAATGCTGCCCACTAATCCTGCCTGGGGCAGCAGGGTGCACAGAGGAGGCAGGTTCTAAGTGAGAGGGGGATCTTCTCTATTTCCAGCCTCCTTTGCAGCCAAAGTCCATCACTTCTTCTCTAGTTTCTCAATGGAAACTTCTCTAGTTTCTCCATCTTCACCAAAACCACAATGCCATAGGTTTGTGCCAGACTCTTTGCCGGGATGAGGCGTTGGCTCCGGGATGAAACCAGGGTGGGCACAGCTACAAATGACCTCCTCTTCCCCTCTGGAAAGGCACAGTGGAGAATGATGGGGAGATAGAGCAGGATGTGGCATGTTCTCTATGTCTGGGGACCAGGGGCATGTGGCAGCAAGGCTGTGTTACACCATGTTCACACTGGGGCTGTGCCAGGCTAATAAAGGGGTGGCAGAACCACCTCTTGGGTGTGCCCAGGGAGCCAGGCAGGAGCTGCAAACACATCTCTGGCCATAGGGGCAGCCCAGGCTCCCCTGTGTGGGTTCCAGAGTGCTCCTGGATTCAGATATCCAGAGATGCCAAAATTCAGGTCTGCACCTGCCCAGGTGTTTTCCAAGCTGAGTTTCAGGAGATGGTTGATCTGTCCCCAAGACACTCTCAGCTCAAGGCTGAGGAGGGGTGATGGGGTGCCCGCACTTAAGTGGGGGTCTCGTGTTTTCGTGTTTGGCTGGCTCTGCTCTTCCCTTTGTCTGTCAAACCCGTTGCCCAGAGGCACCAGCTCCACCCTCACTTACCGCCGGGAATGCCGCGGGCAGGGCGGGGCAGGGTCTGACCACGCAGAGCCGCCTCTGGGTCTCCAGCCGGCAATAGCGGTTCTGGTTGGAGACGCGGGTGGCGAAGCCCACGCCACAGGTGGCCGAGCAGGCGCTCCACTCTGTGCCCCACTCCTGGCAGGGGTATGGCAGCACTGGAGGCACTGCCCCGGGGGCTGAAAGAAAAGAGAGGAGGGGATAAAGGGTGGTTGGAGCCAGGCTCTGTGCAGATGCCCTGCGGTGCTGCGGGCAGAGCCCCGCGTGGCGGAGGAATGTGAGGTGATGTTTCAGAGCCTGGGGTGAAGGGGCCATCCCCAGAGACCTGGCCGGGCATCCCCTCCCTGGAGGTGCCCTGCATCTTACCTGCCCTGGCATCCCGGGGGAGGTGCTGGTCCTGGGCTCCACAGATCCACTCGGGGCAGCACTTCCCCGGGATCTCCACGCGCCGTGGGTAGGGGCAGTCCGGGGTGGGCAGCCTCACGTCCTCCTGGCACAGCGGGATGCAGGTGAAGCCCCCGTCCAGGCAGCGGCACTGGAGTTTGCAGCTGGGCTGGAAAACTTCTCCATCTCGATAGACCCGGCCGTTCACCTCACAGCCCTCCTCGTCATCCTCGACTGAAGTGACAGACGGGGAGCCCGTCAGGGACAGAGCGACAGAGATGTGAGTGGCAGAGGGACTGCTGGGGTAACTGTGGGGCTGGCACGGAGGGACTGATGGGGGGGGGGACACACAGAAGTGACTGAGAGGTATGTGGGGCAGACACGGGTGTGCAGCAGCATGTTCATCACCAAACCTCCTCCCCTTCCCCACCTTCCCTCCTCATCTCTCCGTGTTTTCAAAGGAACAGCTCACTAGCTGGTGGGAAACCCCCTGCCCTTTGGCTCTGACCCTGCCTTCAGGGTTTTCAGGCTAGACAAAGTTTCTCTGAGATTTCTCTGCAGGATGCCCAGGCTCCAACCCTGGCTGGGTGACTGCAGCATCCCTGGGACCCCCATGCCCATCCTCACTCAAACCACCCCGAATCCTCAGTCAGAAAACAGCACAAGAGCTGGCAACAGCTGCAGTACAGCCCCATGGCCAAGCTGCGTGTAAGTTCCTCAGAAAAGGCTGCTTTCCTAGTCTCAACCACTTCCCTGAAAGTGCTGTGGGATGCCTGCAGCCAGCTGAGGCCACGGGTGGAACTGGGGTGTGGGGGCATCCCCGGCGGGAAGGGGCTCCCCTGTGCTCACAGTTGCAGGTGCCTCCTGTCCCGGCCGGTGCTGTGCTGTAGTCACAGACGAGGCCCTGGCTCTGGTCGCAGACGTGGAGGAAGTCACAGGGCTCCCCCAGGCGCCGGGCACAGATCTTGCAGCAGCCACAGCCATCCAGAACCAGGGGGGACCCGCGGGGGCAGCGGGGTGGCACCCAGGGGCAGTAGCATGGTCTCCGGCACAGCTGGGCACACACCTGTGGGGCAAAGGCATTGCTGATTCCATAGGGGTTGGTTTTGACTGACAGGGAAATCACTGGGACAGACAGGTAACCTCTCAATCACGAGAGCAGATTTTCAGTGGAGGGAGGCTCTGCAAATCCATGGGAATATGGTGAAGCAGCCTGGAAAGCTACTGTCCCCTTTCTTAAGGGCACCTATGGAAAACCAAGGAGAATCAAGGATTCTCAGCACTCTGCAAGATTGGGTCTTAAAAGTACCACTGCTCTGAATACACAGGAGGAGGATGGAGCTAAAAGGTGAAGATCCCGTGCAGTGGTGGTTATTTAATGAGCTCAGCAGCCACAAGCAGCCCAATGTGAGGGAGGGAAAGCAGCTTACCCCATGGCTGCCCCTAAGGCAGTGGGTGTGCCCAGCTGGAGACGGGGCTTTGCAGGGATTGGATGCACGTGAGGAGGGCTCAGCACCTCTCTCCAAACAGTCTAAACAGTTCTCATTCATGGTGAGAAACAGGATGTCACATTGGCAGCAGGGATCTGATGCCAGGCAGACATCACTGTGTTCCTCCCTGATCCAGCTGCAGCTTCTGCCTGTCCCTGGCTGCAGGATCCTCACCCAGCCTGGCCCACTGGGCGAGGAGCCCAGAGATAGGCACGTTTCTGTGGACTGGGAGCTATGTTTTCCCTCCTGGCTAGACTGAGTAATCACTTTGGCAGGACTGTGCACTGCAGTCCTTTGCCTGCTCAGCCAGTTGTCTGCCAGGGATGTGCCCACAGGAGTTCACCTGGGCAGGGGGGTGTTTATCCCATTGGCTCATCCTGCTTGCACAACCACCCTGGCACACCTTGCTTTTGCAGGCAGTGCTTGTGCTCCCGACGTGTCATATCCAACAGGGCTGTTGCATACTGAGCCTGAAGCCAGGAGAGCTGGCTCTGCAGTTTGGAAGTGAATTCCTTGCCAGTCCTGACCTGGCAGCGTGTGTGAGCCCCCTGGCAGCTCCAAGCCCCCCAGCAGCCCTGCTGCTCAGCACCATGCACGTGCTGCTGGATGCAGGGCCAGCACATGCAGTGCAGCAAACATGCAACCAAACCATTCACCCCTGCCCTGGTCTGGGTGTGTGTGCTGAGCCTGCCGAGAGAGCGATGGGTTCAGCCACACCCTGTGGGTTTTAGATACCATTTTCCTTTCTTTTTCAGTTTCTCCCAGTGACATCAGGTCTGACATGACCAGTCAGAAGAGGAGGTAGGTACTGGTGTGCTGTTTCACATTTGCAGCCGTTCAGATGTTTTTTATGGGGCTGTAGAAGTGTCAGTGCCAGCAAGTAGAGATTAAATATATCCAAAATGGGCTGGGTCTTGTTCTAGTTCTGTCAATGAGCAGCATTATTAATGTGGCAGAAACCAGAGAGAGACTTGTGGCAGGGACCAAGGGACTGTCTGTGGTGGCCAGGTTTGGGCTGGCAGCACAAGGGCCTTTGGTGATTCTCACAAGCACCCGGGGCCAGAATAATTTCTGTCACAGCTTACCCAGGCAGCCAAAGGCATTTTTCATCTTTCAGGAGGTTGCTATTACAAATCGATGTTTTAGAAAGATTAGCCAAGCCATTAATGCATTTCCCTCTGCTCCTTGTAATTTACTTGTCTTTAGATGACAATGTGGCTCCTATCAGAGATCTGAACTTTCTGGGAAAGGAGTCAAATAGGCACACTGTTGCCACGACATCCCTGCTCGCAGAAGGTCTGCCTGGGGATTCAAGCAGCAGCTCTGATTAACTTGGAGCTGAGATGCCCTGAACTTTTCAACATTCCTGTTCTCTGCACAGGCAAATATTTTCACACAGAGTCCAAGAGAAAGAAAAAAATAATAAACCCACTACGACAACCCAAATCCTGTCAGAGGCATTGGCTTGGCATGAGCGTCCTGAGAAGCAGGGAAAGCTGAGTAATGCCAGGGCTGCTTGGCCCCTGCCTCGGGAGCCTGGGCGGGGATGGAGGAGCCTGCAGGAGCCACTACTGCCGAGCTGCTGCTCGCTGACTGAACGTAGCACAGCCCAGAGAGCGGCAGGGACAGCGAGCAAACAGCACATTGCTGTCATTCCTGTGTGCTCCAGGGACTCACACAGCAGAGCCTTTGGCCCATGAACGTTCACACCCTGCTGCTGAATCTCAAATATCTCTCCCAAGCAGAGCTGTGCCCCCGTGGGACTGCATCCACACAGCCTGGCCGGCGTTAGCCAGCGGGCTCGTGGTGACACCCCAGTCCTCCCTGCAAGACCCAGGTGCTCCACGGGTAAGGCTAAAGCTGCCCCAGTGCCCCATCTCCCTTACCTTGGAGAGGATGCAGAGGAGGGAGAGGAAGAGGAGCTGCTTCTCCAGCTGGAGCCTCATGCTGCTCTCCCCTCTGCCACTTCAGCACATCACCCCCCAGGCAGTTTGGAGGCAGCGGCGTGTTCGCAGGTTTTAAAGCCCGGAGTAGGTCCTGCTGGTGTTTATACTCTCCCTGCTCTGATGTCACTCACAGGCTCCAATATAAACATGAATAGGTTTGGACAAGCCTCAAGATTTCCTTTTTTTTTTTTCCCCTTTCTTTTTCTTTCCAGCCCACATTCCAGCTGCCATTTCCACTCTCCTCAAGGTGAGAATGTGCTTCCACTGAGACAGTGAGCGAAGGGAAGGGACACTGTGCTGTCCCTGGGGAGCAGGGCAGAGGGGCTGGGGAACCAGGCTGGTGGGGTGATCCAGCTCCTTGCTGCTAGCCATGACTGGGAGGGGAGGGAAGATTCATGCCTCGTCCTAATACTGATCAAGGTCTGCCCAAGCAGAGCCAGAATCTTCCTCCTGGGATTTGGAGGGATTGACAGGGCTGTCCCTGCTGCCACCCTCAGACAATGCCATGGCCATGCAGGAGCAGGGCACCCACCCCTATGTTTTGTGCTGAACTCTGTGCATGGCAGGCTGTGGGAGAGGGGTGAGATGACCAAAAGAGCTGGAAAGGGATTTGCTGTGGTGGTTGTGATGTGCTGCCACATCATCCCTGTCCTCAGTGGGGCTGCAGCCACCTAGGAAGGCTGCTGGGTGGGAGGGTTGGATGTACATTGTGTTGCGTTGTCCTGGGTATGTGATGCAGGGAAAGCTTCAGTCTGGCTCTGCTGATTTCAAGCCTTGTAAATCCAAATTCAGCCCCTGAGGTATTATGATCATCTTAAGCAGTTGTGAGAATTAAAAATCCAAGTTTGGGGAAAAGAAGCAGGTGCTCAGTTGTTGTCTTTCTCAGTCTGCCCTGTGCAAGTTTTTCTCTTGGCTGCTGTGTCTGGGGACACAAGGCTGGCTCTTAGGAAAGAAAAACCTAAGCATTTCAAGACCTCCAGGAAACAGAGCCCCTTCTCCATGTTTCCATTCCTCAGATCTTATCATGAGATATAAGTGGGGACTTTGTGAGCTCAAAGCTCAGAGGAAAGGCCTGAGTGTAAGGATGCAGGATGCCCTGCAGCTCTCCCCGGCTCCTCTCCTGCACCCCTGCCCCTTTCCTGCAGGATGTGTTCTGGGGCTGGGAATGCTGCTTCTGCCCTGGCCCAGGGATGGATCCTGGTGGCTGTGTACAGACTTTCCATGTCATTCAGGCATTATGAGCTCTGCTGCTAAATACCAGATACTACATGTTGGCAAACACACAGGAGGGGCTGGGGCCAAACCCACCATCCTGTGCCTGGCCAGCTGCCCACACTTCCAATCCTTGGTGGTACCTTGCTGGGTTTTGGAGGTGCCCAGTGGAGCCAGCTGGAGGGGTATCCACAAAGTCTACCATGATCTGCCTTCCCAAAGAAGCTTTTCCATGGGTGACATGGGCTTGAGCGTCCCTGCTCCGGTCTCTCTGTGTCCCACGTGCCCGCCCAGGTTGGTGCTGGTGCTGCAGGCAGAGCCTGGCACAGCAATGCAGCCCCTGCTCAGGTTTTGATTTGCAAAGCTGCACCAGAACAGCACATTAGCAGTCCATGTTATAAATACCCTCTGGAGCACATACTCCATATGTGTTCTGTACCATACGTGTGATTTCAGAGCTGGTAATTAAGTCCATATGTTTTGCTCCACAGTTTCCATGGTATTATTGTCAGGTTTTTTGGGGGATTGTAATTTTATTTTTTTTTTTTTTGTGGTCAGTTGTGCAAGAAAATAATTGATACAGGGATCTAAATACATCTCCTTTGAGTTAGCCACTGACAAGCTCTGCTGTTTCTATAGAAATGAAGGAACTGCCCCAGTGAATTTACATTTTAGAGAGCTGAGTTTTTTCATGTGTTTGCCATTTAACATGCCATCATGAATAACATGGCAAAGCTCTCATTTTGTACACCTTGCTCAGCTGAAACTGCATCCATCTGGGATGGGTATCCCAGACCATATTCTTGTTCCACCCCTTTCCTTTGCTCGAGGCTCCTCTTCTTTACTTTACTTTGTGTGTGGAACCCCCTCCCTAGAGCTGTCTGAACTCAGACTGCTGTCTGCATGTCCATCTCTGGCAGGGAGTATTGGGGCTGTCCTGGGGCCTGGCTGGGTCTGTTTGCCCTCACATCAACAGTGAAATCATGGGTCTGGGGTGAGCCCAGCTCCATACTTTGGTGGGGAGGACATTTCCTTTGCTTCTGGGCACTTCTGCCTCAACTCCCCGCTGCAGAGGAGCAGGGCTGTCCATGGAGCATGGACATCACCGGTGGCAAAGCTGGACAGACATCCAGCTTGGCAAAGCCAAGAGCCCTGAGCTGAAAAGGAGGTGCCTCAGGTCTCCCTCGGCTGTTGGACACTTTAGGGTGGCTGCTGGATGTTTTTCATGAGACTTCTGGAAACACTATGGCTTTGGGAAATTTTGAAATATCTCTGCTTTTGGCAGGATGGGAAGGTTGTTTCCTACCCAGAATGAATCTGGCTCCAGTTTCAAACGGCAAGAGCCGAGAGAGGTGGTGATGGCTATTTCCAGCTCTGTCTGGGCATTTTTATTCCCTCTGGTTCTCACACCTTAACTGGACAGCAGAGCCAGGCTGGAAGGACCAGCCACCCTGAGGGACAAGGGACAGGCCAGGCAGTCTTTTACCTTGAGGTCACTGCTCCCACCCCAGAGCAAGGATGGAGAGACTGAAAGTATTTACCATCTGGTGCCTGTCCAAGTGACTTGCAAGAAAAGAATTCAGGGCTGCTGTCCAGTTTCTGATGGCCAGGCAACTGCACCAGAAACCTCGGCTTCATCTGGGACCAGCTGACCCCTCCGAGCTCCCAGCCACGGTGGCCAGGCCAGCGAGGCAGGAGCTGGGCATTGCCCTGGCCAAAGGAGAAAGGGGAATGGTGCCTGGTGCTGGGAGCACTTAATTCTGCACCATCCCCCAGGCGTTTTTAAGTGGGTTTCATTAGAAAGAAACACTGACAAATGGGACTTGGGGCTGGTTCTGGTCTCGAAGTCTGACGTTGCCAAGAGGCAGGAGCTGAGCGATGACATGAGGAGCAAATGGAGCATCACAACAAAGGAAAGGCTCGACTTGGCCAAAACTACAGAGAGAGCTCATCCTTCAGACTGAGGGGCTTCTCATTAGCACAGCCCAGCCTCGCACCAGCTGTTGTGAAAGGACAACAGTTTTACTGAAGAGGCATATTAAACCCATCAAACCCTGGGCAGTACTTCTGTGGGATTTTTCTTTTCCCTGCAGTCCAGACAAGAGCAATTCATAACTGTCCCCCTAAGTTAAACATTCAGATAACTCAAAGAATAAGACTTTTGTAAAACAAAGCATGGAAACTTCAGCCAGATGAGGTTTTCCATTATTATTTGGAAAACAGTGTCAGAAATCATCATGTATCAAACATTAGGATCCTCTGGGAGTTTATTTTTGGTATCAAACATCATCAAACATAAACTCCTTTTAAAAAATCTCACTAGAAGTTTTATCTTTCAGACAAGATATAATCCCCACATCCTGACCTTGTGTGGTTAGTGACAGACCCTTGGTATTTTTCATGGACCTGCACAGCTAACTCATGTTTCCTGATCAAATGGCTCATTCTTTTTGACTATCTCTGTTTTTCTTGTGGTTTCAGGCTAAAACAGACAATGTTTTCCCTTCTTGTCTTGCTCAAGGGTGCTGTGTGTTCTCAAGAAGCTGCCATGTCCTTTGCAGCACCGAAGAAGCTGCAAATTGAGGCACACACTGAGGTACAGCCAGTGATGGTTTTAGGTCTCTCCAAACTCACTTTGTCACTGTGCCAGCTCTGCTTCAGAAGGGGGGATGTTCGGTGATGTCTGTGTTTCCTTCCAGCCCTGTTCTCTGTGACTCTGGTAAGACTTTGGAGGATGCAAGTGCTGCACCCACGAGGCAGCTGGTGTTGTGCCTGGGAAGTGTGTGGTGCTGAAAGAGGTTTGGGTGACACAGGTTGTGTCTGTTCCCAAACATCACAGCCCTTCACATCCCCAGAGCTGCTCTTGGCTCGCCATCAGCAGGAGCAGCTCAGGGTGCTGGTGGATCCAGGATGCTGGGACTGTGTGGAAGGAAGGGAGGGTAATGACCAGTGTTGGGACGGGACAGTGCTGGGGAGGGGACAGTGACCTGGGGCCAAGACAGCCCTCCTTAGCTGGCATATCAACAAGGCATGCTCTGCAGAGCCCTGGGTGTGGCTGGGACCTTCCCAAAGGCACACTGGGCACTGCTTGGCAACCTTGGCTGGAGGGAGCCTGGCTCGTGCAGGGAAGGGGCTTTCAGTGTAGACACTGGACACATTAGGAGGCTGGGCTGGGGAGGACTGAATGGCTGCCAGTTCACCTATTCACACCCAGCATTTCAAAAACCCAAATGTCTGGTCACCACCCAAAACCAGCTGGCAAGGGGACCTGCTGCTTCTCCCCAGGGCTCATGCCAAGGGCTTTGCAGGTGAGTCTCACTTCCTACCTCCACCCCAGGGAATAAAGCAAGGGTTGGGCTTGCTCTCCATCTCCTAAGCAGGACTGGAAAGGCTGAGACCAGTGATGCTTCCACGTGCAGAGGGGTGCCAGGCCCCCAGCCCTTCCCCATGCCCCCTCCTGATGCCAGAGGCATCTGGAGACATTTCCTGAGCATGAACTTCACATAAACCACCTCCTCTTGTCCACATCCCCAGTCAAGTCAATAAAGACACCATTGAAACCTTTAGTGTGGGGGGGGAGGGAGATCCAGTTGAGAAAAACAAGCCTCTCAGTCTCACCATGGTTATGAAAGCAACGATGTCGCCTGGAAAGTATGTACCAGGGAGCAGAGAGCTGCCTGTGTCCAGGGGTGAGTGGAGGAGATGGGCACCAGCTCAAATATGACTCAAAATCAGGGGGAAATTATTTCTGATGAACGTAATTACTTCGGCTCCAGCCCTGATCAATATGAGGAGCTAAAATGCTCATAAACCGGCCGAGAATGCGAACTATGCAGAATGATTTGTAAAAGGTGTTTGGC